ATCGGCCATTATAATCATTCATTCTATATATTGAAAGTCCAAAGGTTTACAATATTGCCACTATGTAATAAGTTTTTCGAATGAATTATTTGAAGAACCAGATCCTGTTTTTTTGAGTTTTTAATAAATCTTATGTGTTTTTTTGAGTTTTTAATAAATCTTATGTATTTCTTGGGAGTCTTTTTTACATTTTAATGAATGACCTTTTAATTTGTCAACTAAATCATAAAGTTTAAACCGACTCTTTTGACGAAGATCTTCCACGAACATGAGACATTATTTTGATGAATTTTCTTATTCGATTTTTTTTTTTTGAATTTTGTAATCATAATCATAATACATTTAAATTACACAGTCGAATCATTATTAACAGATTTAAATCAAACAAACATGGTTTTTAAGATCGTGTTTTAAAACATTTGCTATCCCTAATACATAAGCGTCTAAATTATGATATATGACATACGATATATTTTGACATGGTGTTTTAAAATGCTATTAATATTTTTTTTTTAGTTTCCAATATTACTATAGCTGCTCCTATTATTATATTTAAAGGGGTATTCACAAGTAATATGATATTATCGCGAAAGTTTGACCTTCAAAAATTCCCTTTTAAAAGGTCTTGATAACCTAATCGTTGATATTATATTATATTTTATTTTGCGTTTTTAAAAAACAGAATAGGATTCCTTAAAATCTCCATTCCGTCTTTATAGTCACAAATAAAAAAAACTTCAGGTTCATTAAAATTATTTATTATACCATTCTTAAGTTCACAAAAAAAGTATCCGTAAGGAAAATTTTCTTAGTTCTTTATATAATATTTAACTTTTTTAAAAAAAATCAACTAATTCTACAATAAACTGGCGATTCTGGACGAAAGTTAGAAAATAGCAGAACATATTCATTTTAAAATTACATTATACTGAAATGAATATTAAAATTCATGATACTTTACCTTTCAGTATAATAGATTTTTAATATAATGAAACGTAGAAATTGTAGTAAAAAAAACTTTAATCGAATTAATTTTTAGAATTACAGTATTTAATCCAAAGATTAGTTCAGGCACTCTAAATACTGTATTATAATATTTTAAAAAAATTTAATTTTTCGTCATAAAACATTTGGAATGGCGAAAATATTTTTAGGCTTCCTAAACTATTTAAATACTGAAATATACTTGACATGGTAAATTAATTTGCAACCTGAATTATTTTTGACATTCTAAATCATTTACGATTTTTCTATCTAAAATAATTTAGCCATTTAAATTTACGTTAAGAGCAAAACAATTATTATATGACAATAGTAATTTCAATACCAAATAATTCTTTTTACTTGTTATAGCAAAAGCTAAAACATGCCTTGATCTTATAACAATTACGTATTCAATATACATATTTATAAATCATCATCAGGATTGGTTGGGGGTACAAATTTCCAATCGTCACTATTACTATCTTGGTTTACGTTATTTATATCATCCCAACCACTGGGCCATTCCTTACTTATCTCATTTCCCATTTCTAATTCAAGCGTTCCGCCATTTTCAATATCTTTATGTCTAAACCAACTCATCTTCCAATCTTTACCATTAAGTTTTACACGCCGAATATATATATTTCTAGGACCAAAATTTGAGGTTTTAATTATGAACTGAGTTGTTGGTGACATCTGAATTGTTATACTTGAAAATTGTGGAGAGTTTATTAAGTAAACGTCTTGACCCGCTCTGTTGTTTCAATCCAATAAACCGTACATAGTATATATTAGTTTACTCAAGATAAGTTCAAAACTTCTTTCTATGTCTTAATAATAACTCACACTGGATAGATCCCTATCGCATGGAAAATAAACCAACTACTCAATGCATCAGAAGCATCGTCTATAACATAAATACAGTAATTTAGTAAACACTGTACAAGGTAATAATATAGGTTTAAGTAATCTATGCTCAACTATCGTGTGATCAACATATGGCATCTTTGAACCTTTCAACTCTAGAAATCTCGTATGAAACTGGAACCTATATCTGGTAACATTATTTCAAATCGTTATAATGTTTTAATACAGGAGGTTTTTTAAAAAAAATTTTATAGAACTTATGTTGTTTTATAAATTTACCAATTATTATTCTTATTTTTTTTAAAAAATAAAAAACCTCTTGTATAAAAACATGTGGTGGTTGGAAAATTGAATCAAATCACACGATTGTATAGTACAGACCATTTAAATTATAGTATGTAACTCCAATGATATAGATCATATTATTTTATATACGTAAAAAAAAAAATAAACTTACCGGGAAGATTGTCTATTTTAAACTTCTTTTCTAATATATCTCTGATAATGCTTACACTTTTCCATTGTTTACCAATATAATGATATAGACAAGGATGAAAAAAACTGTGTACTTTTCCGAACTTGAATAATGATGTCTCGTAAGTTGAATCAGAGAACGTTAAGTCAAGCCTCTTTTCAAATTTTGCATTACCACCAGAAAGTTGAATTAATGTTTTCACATCTAGAATTAGCAATAAAATATTAAGAACATATTGAAATAAAATATGCGAATCTAATTTATAGGTAAAATTTAAAAATAAATAAATAACAATTCGACTAATGTACTGACCATGTGGAATGTCTAAACTATATTCCCATGCAGATCCTTCATAGAATTCATTTCCTCCTTGAAGTACGTCAAAACTAGTTTTGAATGATCCGTTCCAAATTCTAGGTAAAATAAACCCAGAGATATCTGTGCCATTATTAGATAAGTTATTATGCAAGAAATCGAATAAGCATACGGATCATAACGAACCATTAACAGTCTTGTCAGGGCACCATAATTTCAGCCAATTTTTTGCACGAGCTTTATACTTAGCGTAATCTTCGGTTTTACCTAAACCTATACAATTTATATTATATTATATATAATTAACAAATGTTAGTTACTACTATATATGTCGTGCTCGATGTTACACGAGCTCAGAAATACTGCTAAATGCATGCAAGAAGATCTAATATCGCTTAATTCAGTAAGGTGCAATTTTGAACGCGACATATATATAACGATTGTCAAAGTATAAAATTATCTAACCTTTAGCAACTAGTGAGATTGCATAATCATTTACTGAATATTCCAATGTTCTGCTACATGGATGACCATAACTCCTAGAAGTTATGTATCCCTGATCAATATAAAATCTAAGGTCCATTCGTCCAGCATAATAACCCCACGAGTATGGATCTCCCTCAGCGTTTTTAAGTAAAGCTTGATATCCGTATTTCCAATCAATTACATCCTTGCCAATTTCCTTTAAAAATATTTCTGCCTGTTAAAAGTACATTAAACGGTTAATTGATTAAAAATATGAATAAGATTATTACCAAAGTTATTGCAATGTTAAATTCCTTACCAAAACCATATCAGAACTAGAGCCACCTTTTGCGATTCCGTTGGCCATAGCACAGCGTCCATTAGGCATATATCCTGCATGACGATGTATATCAATAAGCGAACGTGTAATATCAATAATTCGTTGTTGTTGGAATAATGTGTATAGTGGGACTGTAGTTCTTTATAATCGAATAGAAATTATTGGTTTTATAATGTTCATTTAAGAAATAAACTTGGTAGTTAAAGTTATTATTTACCTGAAGATGCTTCGCTATTTAAGTCAAAATATTACGAAAAATGGGTGTATAAAAATCAATTATTTTGTATAAAATGAAATAAAATGATGCAATATAGATATAACATTCAAGAAAAAGAAAGTTACTAATGTTAAAAAATCATCATAGTTAGGTATAACTCTACCATTTTCATCAAAAGATACCCAATTCGGATTTTCTCCAGTTCTACAGAGAGAATAATAAGCTCATTAGCTTTATAAATACTAAAAAAAAAAAAAAAAAAAGGCCAATTGTATTTACCGATCACTTGGAGTAATCATTGTTCTGTATAAATTCGAATAAAATATCTTTTTCAAATCGTCAGTTCCACCAGTAACTTGAATTTTCCCAAGTTCCACTTCCCAAGCTTCGACTGCTTTTTCTCTTGTTAAATCAAAATCCCAGTTCGGTATCTCTTCTTGTGCGTTTTTACATGCTTGATCCACAGACATAAACGATATACCGACTCGAGATTTAATTACAGATTGCATTGGCCTTGTAGTATCAAATCCCAGAATAGCACCAATAGGATAAATTCCACTAGTTTGATATGTAGAATTTCGCGTAATATTTCCATTCCAAAATGTATAATACTCTGAAGCATTTGTATCAAATTGAGAGCAAAAATATACGGAATATTGAGGTCCAAACCTCCAATCTTTGTAGCGACCAAAACCTTTCATCTCATTTGAAGTTACAGAAATTTCACCAGAAACATATTGTCCACTATTATCAAATTATAATTTTATCATTTTAAATATTAAACTTAGCAGAGATTAATCAACAATTAAAGTACTTACAAAGAATTTATATGAGATAAATCAATCATTACATGAGATTCATTAATTAATGGTGGAAAACTATATTTATGCAATGCTGCTCTCCTACTCGCTGTTAACTCAACAACAAGATTATAGCGCTTTAATCCGATTATGCCATAGCCAACTTCATAACGCTCTAATGAACGAATCGAAGAGTAGTTATACAAATCGAATGAATCCATGGAAGTAGTAAATGGGAATTGACTGATTACACCATATTTAGGTTCGTCTGCTTCTATATTTTCATGAATTAAGTGCGGTTTAAAAGTAGATAAAGGTCATGTGATTTTTAACAGATATTAGAGTTTTTGTTGTATTTTTTGTTATAAGCGAACGTTATGAATATTTGTTTCACCTGATCCACCAATGTGCAAATCTTTTTAGAGAAGGATGCAAAGAGGTTAAAAAAAAAATAATAAATAATTAAAAAATTAAAAAATAATAATAAATAAAATACTGTAAAAAATTTCTTTGAATTTTAAAAATTTTATTAAAAAATCACATACGACTTATTCCTGTGACCGCTTCATCCACAGTATATCTGCAAATCAAATAGTAAGTATATCAAAATTTTAACTACTGTACTTATCAATTCATATTAAAAAAGACTATATAAACGAACCCGGCATCGTTTGTATCAATTCCAACTTTTACTACACCAAATGGTAAGCAAGGACCAGGAAACACCTCCCCTAATCACCCATTATTAAACATTTCAATTGATTTCATCAGAAAATGTACAACATCTCAAATAAAATCTCGCTTGACATACCATTTTTAATACCAATCAAAGGATCAACAAAATTCGTCAACCATTCGCTCTTTTCCTGAATTTTTGGTTTAGTTGGCAATGATGACGACGTAGAATCATAAAATGAAAGTCCAATTTTATTAAAATTTGATAATGCATATAATGATGCAAAAATTAATGTTGATATGATTATAGAAATATACGCGGATTTAAAACTCTTATTCCTAAATATCCACATTTTTATTATATCTCAAATATGTTATATAAACTTTTTATACGAAAGAAGGAGGTTAACATATTTTCAATGGTATCGTTGAACCATTTACAGATTTATGATTAATTCCCTGCTCGTGTGAACATGTATTACGCTATTCCGAATACAGGAAGGGTACAATCCCTCTAAATATTTATAACCGAATGTCGTACTGTATGTATACGTGCGTATTTGGTATGTACTCATTTTTTAAATACACGTGATATATCAGATCATAATCTCAGGTCACACATGCAATTTGTGGAATATCTACTTTAAAACATAACCAATCAGATAATAGCTTTATTTGCGTTGATCCTTTAAACTTAATTTTTATAATGATTACTGTAAAAATTTTTAAAAAGTGTTTATTGAATTTGGTGGTGTCGAGTAAAAGTTCAAAAATCGGGTGTATTTTGCTCTTTTTAAACTTTGAACGAAGATTTCTTGACACCCATCGATGAGTTTTTTTTATTTTAATACTATGAATTTATAAAACTATAAAATTAAAATAAAAATTTTTTTACCGAATTTGTATGTATAGTTGTCGAGAAATTCATTAAAAGTTAAGAAGGAAATTTGTCGCAGTTTTTATTTATAGATTTTTAAACTTCGAACGGTGATTACTCGACGCTTACTAATCAAATTCGATCATAGGTTTTTTTTTATAATTCTTAGGATTAAAATAAAAAAAATCATCAGATTTGGATAGATGTGTGTCGAGATATCTCGATCAAAGTTAAAGGAAAAACTCACCCGATTTTAGCTTTTTTCCTGATATTCGAGGATTTTTTAAACTTTTACCAAAGATTCCCAATAACTTTTTTATTTTAATTCTCCGAGTGTATAGAATTAAAAAAAAAAATCATCATTTTCAAATCTTAAAAGGATCGACGCAAATAAAGCCGTGATCTGATTGGTTATCGTTATGTTTATGTAGATATTCAACAAAGGGCACAGATTCAAAATTTCGTCACACATCCTTTTTTTTTTATTTTTGTGCATAATGATTAAATCTAAACGACAACAAAAATTGGAACAAAAACAACTTCAATCTCGTCTTACCAAATCATCATCATTTGCTACTAAAACACCATTTCGGGATGCTGAAAGAAATTTTAAATCACGTTTACCACCACCAGATTTTAGCCGTGTGATTGATTTTTATAATTTAGAAAATTGTATAGATGAAATTAAAAATAAAGTAATTGAAGTAGAATTAGCTGTTGACTTAGGTGAAGAATGCGAAAATTTATTTGGAAAATGCAAGGATGGCGAATACATTGAAAGAAAAAAAGCATATTTATTTAAAGATTTACCAGGTAATGTATTATTCATAAAAAAATGATATATTTTAGATCAGATAATTCTGAGGATATTAACCCATCCCTTATCTATTTTTTAGGATTTATATTTATTCGTAATCCATTTACACCAGATGCACAAAAACATGTAATCAAACGATGTCTAAAAGATTTTGCAAAGCATCCAAATATTTCTAATCTTGATACTCATTATATTTTACCTAAACAAGGAATTTGGGAAATTTACAAAAAGGTTTACAACAATATATTGGATGAAAACGATAAAGAATGCTTTATTCCTTTAAAGGCCACTTCAACCAATGAAAATAGTGACATTCGATATACAAACGATGACGAGGAATTACCCAAATCCACAAAATTAACCACAGTCAACAAAGAAAAACCAGATCCTCCACCATCTCCCACTGTTTCTATACTACCACCATCCCAATTAATTTATAAATTAAGATGGATCACTTTGGGATATCAATATCATTGGTCTACAAAAACTTATCATTTTGATCGTCGATTCCAATTTCCTCAAGATATAAACGATTTAACAACTGCAGTGGTCAAAGCAATAGATGGACTTGGTTTTCCAGATGATAGTTTTATTCACAAATATGATGTGGCAAAATGGAAACCAGAAGCTGGTGTGGTTAATTATTATCAACTTAAAGATAATTTAATGGCACATGTTGATCGAAGTGAAATAAATATGGATGCTCCCTTAGTATCTTTTAGGTATTCTAAAAATATTCATTATATGAAACTTTATTTATAATCTAATTCGTTCTGATAAAAAAAAATAAATATTTTAGTTTTGGACATTCGTGTATTTTTTTAATCGGCGGTCCAACGCGCGATACCGCTCCTTTGGCATTATATTTACGTAGCGGAGACATTTCAATAATGTGTGGACCTAGTCGAGGGTGCTTTCATGGTTTGTATATCGTCAACAATTAAATCATTTTTATTTCAAGAAATTTAAGTCAAATATATATTTCAATTTAAAGGTGTTCCACGAATTCTCGAAGGAACCCTTCCGACTTATCTTGCTCCTAACAATATGGAAGATCCAGATTGGGATATTTATGGTGATTTTATGTCAACAACACGTATTAATGTAAATGTTAGACAAGTATTTTAATATAATAACTATTAATTTGAACTTTTATTTATAAACTAAATAAATTTTTCATCACACGAGTGGTATCTAATGATTTTTATGAATAGATTTTGTGTTTTTTTTTGTTTGATCAAATTAGTGTTCAGAGAAAAATAATACATACTTATTATTATGTTGTATCAATCTTGACACTTCATTTTATTGGCAAAACACTTTTGAAATTATCTCATGGTCAAATATGTACGCACTGATGGAGAATTTTTATATTATTATTTTAAAAATATATTATGAGATTGCAGTTTTATTTTTACTTTACACACAAAGATTTTCATCAATTAAGATTTTATTTTAAGAACTCTTCAGAAATGATTATTAGAATTTCTATATAATACAAATGGCATATTTTTATTTATTTCAAGACATCGAAACAATCTAATTTTTTATACGATTAACAATACCAGTAAAACAGTTATCTGGAATAAATTCTGCATATGAATAATATATAGCTATTGGATGCGAAGCAGCCAATAACAGAATTATTTGCAAATGATTCATTTTATCTGGCTGCGTACATGGCATCCAATAACTGTTTTATCGGGTGGCTTGCGACGACCGAACCAACAGAATAGTTCGAGTTCTTTTGGTGATAATTGCGTCATTATCAAATAATGAAGATATGATAATGATGCAATTACCGTATCACCAAAATAACTCGAATTATTCTAGTGGTAAGCTGCCGGATAAAAGGCATTATTTTTTACTTCGTTACATTTAAAAGATTTTTTTTTTTACTAGGTGAATTGATCTTTGCTTAAAATGTTATTATTGAAGTTTGTAGCATAAATGTACTTTTTTTTTTTTTTTTTTAATATTTGCAGTAATTTCAGATAGATAAATGCATATATATTTTTATTTTTGGTGTTAAGGTGATCTCTTTGACCATAGAAAATTTTTATTAGGTACTTGTAGTTTTTTTGTTAGGTTTATACAATTTTAAAAGCCTTATTGTAGTAAACTAGAGATGAGATAGTTTAGCATGATTTAAAAAAACATAATTCAAGGCTTAAACCATGGTTTAAGCCATAGCTTAAGCTATAATAATTTTTTATTATTGTTATGTAAGTACATATAAAAGTTAAAATCTTATTAAGTAAATCTATTAAATAAAGTTGTTTAGAAAATTAAATTATATAAGGAAAATGGGGTATTGTTGACAGGTTAAAGTTTCTATTAATAAAGCTTTTTAATAAACAAATAAATTTTTATATAATTTTTATTTTTTGAATTATACTTAATAAAGAATAAATACAAAAGACAAAAATTTTGTTGGAGATAGTAGAAGAAGCAGACACCTTTCATACAATGGTTTGTAAGTAAAACATCTTGCTTACTTTTGGCATGCAAGTTGGAAACACCCTTGTAGTGAAAATTTTGATAGAAAGTTGGTTGTGTTTTTTTGCTAGAAGAATAAATACAGCAGCTATATTGACTATCAACAAAGTTGTCTTGGTGTTCTGGCTCTCTAGGTGGACAACAAATGAGTTTTTTACTATCTTTTCTAAGGACTTTAGTTATCCTGCACTTGATTCTACCCTGTTGGTATTTTTTTCCAAAATTTTTGAAAAAATCTTGAGATTTGGCTACTTCTCTTCAAACAATCAATATTGTTTACCACTTCTATTTTTAGAAGTTGCTGTTGTAATGTGGTGAATTAGAGAAACAACAAATATGTATAGAATGTGTGGTGATTTTTATTATTGGATTTAATTTGTAAAAGGGTTTATAGTTAGTTTTAGATACTTTTATTAGTATCATATGAGATATATATTATCCTGAAGTCACATGTATAATATTTTTTTAACCTGGCATGGATTATAATAGTGCTTTCGTCATATTTGTTTCTTCTTTTTTTTTTATTTTGTCTTTTTTTCTTTCTTTCTTTTTTAGGTTTTTATGTAGTTGCTTTAGTGGTATTTGTTTTGGTATTTCCCTTTTTGATTTCAACTTTCTTTTTTTTTTTCTTTAATTATGAAGTTTTTTCATTAAATAGTTCTCTCTCCTTGGAAAGTTAGGAGAAAAAGATTTAGAATGTTTTTTTTTCTTTCTTTTTTTTTTAAATTTTTATGTAGTTGTTTTAGTGGTATTCGTTTTGGTATTTTCTTTTTTGATTTCAACTTTCTTTTTTTTTTCTTTAATTATAAAGTTTTTTTATTAAGTAGTTAGAAGTTTTCTTTCTATTTGGGAAGTTAGGAGAAGAAAATTTAGAATTTAAGAAAGAGAAGGCAATCATAGTGGTTGTAAAGGATGTTCTATAGAATAGGTGGGCAGACTCCGCAAACTCCGCAACTCTGCTAAATATTTATTAATGATTACTAATTAGTAGTGAAGTTTATTTTTTATATTGCCCACCTATTCTATAGAATATCTGTTGTAAATACCACTTAGTAATATATTGAAATTTTTGTTTGCAGAAGATTTTAGTATTGAGAGAAAATTTACTATAGCAGATTGCATATAGATATTCACAGAGAACAACCAAGTGAGTCGTTACTTGTAATTTAGATATAACATGTTAAAAGTTAGTTCACTATATAAAATAAATATGAAATAGATTTGGTGAAGTCTTACCTAATAAACCTAATAAATTATTGGCATAATTGCTAAATAAATTAAAAAATAAATTACTGCAAAAATTCTTTATATCATATATAGTCTTAGATATAAATAATTAGTATATAAACAGAATATAAAAACTAAATTTTATAGAAAAGAGGTATTGTGGATATAGTAAATAATTTTTAATTTACTAGTTCATTTTGAATAATTTTACTACCAAAATAACTATCTTAGTAAAATGATTTTAACAAGTATTTGATTTTTTTTGCAAATCTGCACAGAACTGTAATAAAATAATAGTTATATAATTTTTAT